CTCAGCCTTCCAAGTAGCTGGAACTACAGACGCGCGCTACCATGCCCGGCTAATTTTTGATTTACTGTAGAGATGAGCTCTCGCCAAGTTGCCCAGGTGGGTCTCGAACCTGCGGGCTCAGGCAATCCACTCACCTCAGCCTCCCAAAGTGTGGGATTACAGGCTGCACCACTGAGCCCTGCTTGTTTCTTAAGTTGGAATCTCAGTCCATCGCCCAAGATGGAGTGCAATGGCACGCTCATGCCACCCCAGGTCGACCTGCTGGGCTCCGGCAATCCTTACACTCAGCCTTCCAAGTAGCTGGAACTACAGGTGTGCGCTACCATGCCCGGCTGATTTTTTTGATTGATTGTAGAGATGAGGTCTCGCTGCCCAGGCGGGTCTCGAACCCGCGGGCTCAGGCAATCCACTCACCTCAGCCTCCCAAAGTGCAGGATTACAGGCTGAGCCACCGAGTCCGGCAATTTTTTTTTTTACTTAGATTTTTTTGGTAAAAACGAAGACACAAACACACGCGCTAGCCGAGACCCACACAGGCTCAAGACAGTCATGTCCCCGCCTCCCACCTCCTCGTCCTGCCTCCCGGAAGGTCTTCGCGGCCACAACCCCCACAGAGCTGTGGTCATTGCAACACGCCTTCCCCTGGAAAGCCCTCGAGGGGCCTGCCTGAGGCTGTCTTAGCGGCAACTGCTTTTTGTGAGCAGGAGAAGCACATCCTCAGTCAACGGCAAAACGTACAGTGCAGCGAACACGTCACCCAGCCGCGCCGTCACTGAGGGTTGAGCATTATGAGCTGCACATCATCCCCTGGGCTGGACTTTTCCATGACTGTTGGCGCCCTGAGTTTGCTCACATCAGCAGCCCCACGAACACGCAACGTGCTGCGCTATGATACTGCATCGGCCACATCACCGGGCGACGACAATTTTTCAGCTCCATTATAATCTGATCTGCGTTTATGGGACCACCATCGTACACGTGCTCTGTCACGTTCGTGGAGCGCGACTATGCAGCGCGTGACTCTATTTCGTGAAGAAGCCTGGCAAGCATCCCTTAGTGCTCGTCCCCCAGGGGGCTGATTCCACAGGCCACAACAAGCTGACCTAGACAAGCGGGTGAACTCAGCGCCCCCCAGGGGGCCTTCACAGGTACACTTGCATGCACACGTGGCACACGCTCAAGCACAACATACTTCCACACATGTGAATACTTGCAACACACTCCTGCGAGGCAACCGAGTCACAATGCATGGTAACACACATTCAACTTGCATGTGCACATAGGTACACACATGCAACACACCAGCACATAATACACTCACACAGGCAACACGCCAGCACAAACTTACTTGCATGCACACATGCACAACACGCTTGCACAAATAAAACATACAACACAATACACTCACATGCATAAACTCACACTTGCACATGTGTGTACTTTCATACCTGCAAACCCTCACA